GTGGGAGAGAGAGAGAGAGAGAGAGAGAGAGAGAGAGAGAGAGAGAGAGAGAGGTACTTCATCTTGTTCTGTAATACTGTGTCTCCATTTAAGAGATATATATTTTCTCATTGCAGAAGAATTATCTGTCAGTATTTCTGTTTCAAATTGCCAGATCCAAGAAAATGTGGTGAGTCACAAAGTATACATATTATTACAACTAGATTGTTATCAATTGTCCCCTTTTATTTTGTATCAAAATAATTTGAGTCAAAGACTCATGAAAGCCTGAACTCCACACTCCCTCCCCAGTAGATGACCTGGCTTATCTAATGTGGTGTCAGTTGTTTTTGAACAAAAAAATCAGTATCTAGTAAAGTGCCTCCACATTTTTAGGCACATGGAATGAGAAGCTTTGTAAATGATATACATTATACTGTACCCCCTTTCCTGCAATTCCATGCAATACATTTTGACTTTCAAATTTTGAAGGTGTAATTTGTAGCCATCGGCATATATTGTATTTTTGATGTAATTTTGCTTTCTTTTTATACTCTTCATGGTGCTGTCTTCTTTTTAGTGAGCATTTCACTGGAGAATGAATAACTTCATTCCCCAGCCATAAAATGTATAATTGTGTGTTGAATTAAAGCCATGCTTGTACAGTTAATAAATTGTAGGTAATTAGCACCATTGATTTCATTGATGGTTGTTAATATAATTGCAGATTGTTTGTTTTCAGCGGTGTGTTCCTTTGTTTATTATGTGAACTATTATGACTGCTGATATGTCTGCCAAGTTGAGTGGTAGGGGAATTGGACATCAATGGATGAATAAATGTCTTAGTATCACACCTTTGCTCTTCCCTCCTTGGTACTCTTATCTCCTGGCTTTTATTTAAAAAGCAGAAATAGTCTTGTAGTTACATCAGAGAAGAGCCAGGGTTGATAGTAGCTGAATTAGCTTCACCTGCAGTCAGTGACTTCACTGAAGGAACAATGGCAAGTTTGGGGCTGGCCTGCACTCTTGCTCACATTGCGGTACCTTTCTATGGGTACCATACAGGTATGGTTGCCAGTGATTCATAATTGCCTGATGCTGCTCTGCGTAATGAGAGAAACATTCTTGACAGGCCAGACTAAAGAAACAAATAGGCTTGGTGTTCAGGAGTGTTCTATACCTGGTACTTGTATATATATTAAAAGCATACCAAAATGTTATCCACTGTTTTTCTTTTTTAATTAAACACAGCACATGGTGCAGGATAACATTTTGGTGTGTTTTTAATAAGGGCCATGTGGTTATTATGTATGTTCCCTCCCTATTTCACTCTTAACAGGTGTAACTTAGTGCTATCCTTTGCAGACAGTATTAGTATACATTAACAGGTGGGAATACAGACAAATTCAGAATAATTTCTACATAACTCTCTTTTTAGTGTGAATTGAAATTCTAGTAACAGCCAAAATAGATCCATTGAGTCAATAAGCATTGCATAAGAAATGAGTTACCATGTGGCAGCTGATTCAGTGGGATTGTTCTAGAACCTAGATCCATGTCTTAGTGTGTAAGAAATATAGTTCTTAACATTATATTTTCTTTGTCATTCATTTGACAATTTATCAAGTAATTAACTTGTTTATTTCCTGCTGCTTATATTCTCTCCATAGGATATCAGTTCAGTATATCAGATCTTTGCTGATGAGGTGCTTGGTTCAGGTCAATTTGGAATTGTGTATGGAGGTAAGTTGGGGCACATACAGTACCATTACAAATGTTGACTTGTGAAGCTGTTTGGTTCTTCAACGTGGTTCTCCATGAATCCACACTAGTGGGTTTAGACAGCGCCTGCGCTGGCCTCTCGGAATTTTCTAGAGCTGTAAGAGAAAAGTAACAATGTTTTAGGCTACCCCTTATCGCGCATGTCTTAGCCCGCCAACGGCTCAGTTCCATTTTTCCGCCAGTGAGTTGGGACCTCTCGTTAGAGCTTTGCCTCTTAGTTCGTTCTAGCGAACTATTTTGCTTCTATTTTCTGGCTACCCTGACTTCGGACCGTTTATTGACAACGTTTTTGCCTCTGGTGATTTTGGTTCAGTGAACTCTGTCTTCATCCGGCGTTAATTACCTCAAAAGGCTTCCCGCTGAGGCCTAATAGGCCTTTACGGGCCCCCTGCGGAGGCGCCACGCGCCTACAGGAATCTTTCAATTTTCCCTCATTGGACTTCCTTTTTTGGCTCCGGTCGACGCGGCTCTGATCTCAGTTGTTCGGACCCTCCGCTACGGTTGGTTTTTTCCCTTTATATAAAACAAATATGGATTTTTTTAAAATAAATGAAGGATATTCTATAAAAAAGTGAAAGATGTAGAACATTAATTGGAGATGAGAGTGGTAATAAAAGGTGTCAGCTCAGTGACAGAAGACATACTTTACATGCCAAATGTCCTCAGTTCAGTCTCTTACATTTATAGATAAGATTAGGAGGACTTCGTTTTGGAAATCCTGGAAAACTTCTGCTAGTTTGTATAAATGTTGTATAAGGTAGCATCCTAAATATGAGATTGGAAAGAATATTCCCTGTTTTGCTTTTTTTGCAGCTCCATATCATAACTGATCTTTCAGCAACCATGAGAGATTTCTTGCAGTTTAATGGGTCAGTTCCTTAGCAACTCTGCTTTTACAATCTTGTTTCATGCTGTTCTCCAGGTTTAGGAGACAGTGGCTACTGTCTTTCTTGCACAGTCCCTGACCTGCTTTTAACAATTTTCATTCCCATTAGTTCGCTCTTCCTTTCAAGTGCCTTTTACTTTAATGGAAATAAGTTTAAATGTTTGTACCTTGTACTCAGATACTTGTTCAGCTTGCAGCTATCTTCTATTGCAGTTACGGTTTCCTTACTTGTTACAGAACTACCACTACTGAATAAGAAACTCCAGGTGAGGTCTAGCTAGGCCTCTAGCATAGCAGCAGTTCAGTGTTCATGTAGTATTTCTTTAGCATTCTTTGTGCCTCTTTGTGTGTATTTTGTGCATATGTCAAATAGATTTAAAAGAGTGTTTCCTTTGTTTTTAGCTTGTAATTTCTTTTAATAAATGTGCTACACTAAGGTTCTTGGCTGTTTTATTCTTTGACCTACAGTATTTTAGCTGCAGATGAAAGTGTTTAGCATCCAGATTGTCGCTTAAGGTAGATAATGGATTTCTGTCTTCACTGAGTGTGTTCAAGTACTGGGTAACTCTGGGCAGATGGTGTTCTCTGTGCCTGTAATAGTGATTTTATTTTACAACCAATTGTGGCTGAGAATGTGACTGGAAGCAATCCTGTTCACATGTTGAAATACTGTTGAAATCAGCAATGTGCTGTGTGGAGTTGCAGGGAGGCTTCAGCCCCCCCCCCCAAATCCCAGGTCAGGAAGGGAGAGTCCTTGCTATCTCCAGTCACAGATCAGCAGATTGCCCTGTGTATTTATTTATTGTATTTATAACCCACCTATCTGGTCAGACACCCACTCTAGGCGGCGTACCTTAGAAGAGTCACATTGTGATTTCTGGTTAGAAATTATGGGGATCCTCTTTCCTGATCAGGGAGGGGCATTTCCAGGAACTTCTGGAAGTGCTAGCTGAGTGTCTTTTAGTCCGTTTATCCAAGTGCAGAAGGGGAAGAGGAATAACACCTTTTTTCTTGTCTGAAATTTGAATTGAAAGGCTTTACCCAAGCTGGTAAAATGGTGTACCAGTATGTTGTCTAGTAACTCTATCTTCGAGCGTCTGGTGGATGAGAAAAAAAAATCCTCCCATGTCCTTTTACCACCCTTTCCCCCACCTTGGGTGTGCAAGGCTTGTGGTCTTAAGGTGGGATTTACTCTTCAGCTAGTAAAAACGTCTGGTGGATGAGAAAAAAAAAATCCTTCCATGTCCTTTTACCACCCTTTCCCACACCTTGAGTGTGCAAGGCTTGTGGTTTTAAGGTGGGATTTACTCTTCAGCTAGTAATTGCCTTAAGTAGAAAAAGTTGAAGGGACTCCTTTCATGTGGTGCAAGCTTGGCACTGTGCAGGCTAAATTAGACTGTACAGTGGTCCCTCACTTAGTGATTGCTTCGTTTAACGATGTATTTGCTTTGCAATGGGTTTCTTTGAGGAATTTCCCCCATCATTTAACGATGTTCTCTATGGGGGAATTTCACTTAACGATGTCCGTTTTTGCTCATTT